ATAAATTGAATAAAAATAGAAAATATAATGGAAGCTAGTTTCTGCCACAGGATAAAAAAAAATGTTTGAATCCAGAATCCAAATTCTGAGAAAATAGTCAGAATTGTGAAATATAAACTCATAACCGTGAGAATAAAAGTCAGAATTGTGCGATAAAAAGTTGCAATTGTCTTTTTTTATTCTGTTACAGGAAAAAAAACTGAATTGTGAGACGCAAACTCAGAATTCTGAGAAAAAGTTAATAATTGCAAAATAAAAAGTCATAATTGCAAGAATAAAAGTCAGAATTGTGAGGTATTAAGTTGCAATGGTGGAAATGGGCTTCCATAAAATATAAAAAGTAACAATAAAATGCTAATAATATAAAATTAATTGTACACTCTAAAAATGCTGGGGTTCTTTTTTCTACCCAACCGCTGAGTTGAGCCTGTTGGGTCATATGTTGGGTTGTTTTTTTCTAGTGTTGGGTAGTTTTTGTGTTGCCCAGATGTTGGGTTAGTGGCTGGGCCAATCTCACCGACAGCTGAAACTAAACACCCCTCCCCCTCCCTCCGACGAATCAACCCAGCTGTTGGGTTACAGTCAGAGCGCGGGCTTTCTGCATCCTCTTCAGGAGAGAGTGGTTCTCAGCGCCGCCTAACTGGTGCACTTATTCACTGAAATAAAGGTTTGTATATGTTTTGTTTCATCTATAAATTCTTTACTGTGCTGTAAATTATTTTATTTTACACAACGCAACTTACAGGGACGAGATGTCAGTCTGTTAAATTTCAGTGTCACACCGGCATGAGAATCAGCACTATTTCGATTAAAAAGGATAACAGAACGGTTTAATACACGAATTAAAATGTTACTTTAAAAGGTTATATTTTTATTCCTAAAATGCTTGTTAAATGAGTTGTAAACTATGCTGTATTCATCCAAATCAATTTAATTTGTCTGTTTACTGTGTACATATTCTTTGTGTGATTTCTAATTTCCAACCTATTTAAAGCCAGCAATATAGTAATTTTTAAAACAAATAATTTAGAAATGGTTGTTTTATCCCAGCATTTTGTAGAGTATG